CCTGTGCCTGTTGTATCGGCCAATGGTGCTGTGAAAAAAAGAAGATAATATAAATATGAATATGGAAGTCTACATGTATTAGCGATTGAACGTTTGGACACCGATACTGATATTGATTGTAATTAAAAGTAAAATGTATATTACAGCAAGGTGGGCTTGTGTTATCACTATTGGTAAACTTAACAATATGTTTGTCGAAGCGCATGGTTGACAAATGTAAGCAATTTGTATACAAATGATCACGTGCCAGTCAAAAATGAATAGATATTTATCTGAGATTTGGATACTAACCGCAAAGGTGGGTAAGCACGTTGACCAATAAACAGGTTCATGTACGTACAGTTGTTAAAATTAACCCCATGTTCAAGTCGGGGTTTTAAGGCAAGTGTTACTTTCAGCACGAATATTTCTCTCTGGCCATTATCAACACGTATTTTTAGAATATCTTTGTAAAATCAATTCCTTTACTTAATTCGCTTTCTTTAAGTCCTCTTGCTCATTATATATTAACGTAATGTTATAATCTTCTATGACACGGATGAAATTTGAGATCCCGAGAAAAAAGTAGTCATTTTAAATTGTCAAATTTCTTTATAAAGCTAACGCGTTGTATGCAAATTTAAGTGTTTCCGCATACGTACGCCCAGGAGCTGGTATTATTCCTGTTGCCATTTATTAAATTATCTGTTTGTCTGACTTCTTTCTTCTTCAAGTAGGATATTGAAACTCTTCTAGCGGGGTTTGTTCTCCTGGAATTAATAAGAGGAAATACTATTATATTACAGAAAGGCATCAAGGAAGATTAATCTCTCCATTGTTACAATGGTTAATAATAAAACATGGATCAAAGGGAACGAAAACATGTTATTAAGCACATTCTTTGGGAATGAGTTAAATGTCCGCTTAATTAGGAATTATTCCATGGAAAGTGGTTTCATAATTAATACTTTAAGAATAATGCATGAGACGCATGGGTTTTGTAGACGTCTACAACAAAACTGATCTTATCTTTTGCAACATTAAGCATTACGTGGTCGATATAACTCAATTCTGCAAGACCTTTGAAATCGTGTTACTTCTTGTTCCGAGAATAGAAAATGATACATTCAAAAGCCAACATTTTGTTCATTCTCAAAACACGTGTTTTTCGATAGCTTTTATATTTATAAATTCTCGAAAATTATAAAAATACCAACTAATACCCACCAAGATAATAGTGTGATCTGTTAAAACATTCGCCGCGGAAACTAGAAAGGCACTCAGAGAGTTCAATTCACATTCTTGATTAATTTCAATTTAAAACCTAATAGAGCCCATTTCTGCCCTGTCCTGAAAAACCGTATTATTCTCCGTCCATACCTTTCTGAGTTTGTCTCTTTTAAGAAATTAAAATTAACAAGCTAACAAAGGCAAAAAAAACTTTCTTGTCGGAGATAAAATAGGCCTATCTAATAAAAAGGTTGAAATTTAAAAAAAACATCTTTCGCTACTTACCCAGCAACTGCTACGATACGTGGACAGCTCTCTTCAAGCTTTATCCTGAACTGCCATCTACATCTCAGTACGAGTACGTTTTAATACGGGATCAGTATCGTCAACGTAATTACACACATTATCGGTCATCACTAATTTCCAGCATGTCGGAAATCAGGGCCTGGTCCCACAAAGGATATTTAGCCCGGAAATTGGTCTAAACTGTTAGAGGCCGTGCAGGATGAGTCAGGTTGGTCTAGCTAGTGCAACTAACATGTAGCTCCACGGGGACTCGCGCTGAATGGAACCAAATTAACAGACTAACGTGCCTCTTCTTGGCGTTGAGAGAATACAGAGAAGATGGTGATTATCCGAGTACTAGTACGTTGGAAACACACAAGAAGGGGCGTGTATGTCTATTGAAATCTGATAGCAAACAGGCGAAATATGTTTATTCACCTCTTTATACAGACTGATCTTCAGTCAAAGAAGACTGGATTTTGCTATTAAAGTTAAGACCAACTTTTGGACTGAACTTCTCCAGTGCGACCCCGGTCGTTATCAGATGATAAGGTAGCCTAGGCATATACTATAATTATCACGGTGGTCTGAGTTGCGATAACCATGTATATGTACCAAGTTAACCATGGGTTTTCTTGTCTACGACCTCTCAATATATGCCCTAACAAATAGCCTGTAGGTATCACTGTCATGAATATGAATACATGAATAGATTAGAAGACAACTTAGGTACACAGCTGTGTTTTATTTTGGATCACATCTTGGTCTTTATTGTATATCTTTTATATAATCCCTTCTGCTTCCACTAAGCTTTTAGAGGTTTGTGCTTAGTTTATTTTCGAATGTCTTATTGAATATTCTCTTTTTTATGTAAATGTTTTAATTTGTAATTTCTATTCTTATCAAGTTTATGTGTAACTTTACCTTTGGTTGCTATGTTTTAATAAAACTTGTATTATTATTTATAGGATTATTATTATTTTTTAACCAATTAGATCTACATCTATATTATTTTAGTATCTTAGGACCAAAAAGAGAGTAAGGTCCAAAGATACGTGACCGTTTCCTTTGTGTTTCTCTACGAAAAAGCGATAAAAAAAAGAATATCGATGGGTATGTAAGGTAGCTCTGTTCTCTTTTAATTGACAAAAAGAAAGATACCACACTAACTATATTATAAGCACCAACTGCTGAAGAACAATCGTGTTTAATACAAGCGTAGTTAACGGAATAAAAATGAAATATTATATCGCTTTCTTTGCACACAGCTAATTTCATGAACACATACACGTACTTTCCAACGTTGGTCTTGTGTTCAGTCATGTTTTTTGCTGGTAGGAATAACTTTATATGTAATATTCACTATGAACATGAAAAATTATGAACAGCCAAAAGAGAAATATAAAATACGATTAACATTCAAAATTTGCCTCGTATTATGGTCATCGTTTGCTACTGTAAGTCCTGTAAGCACGAGTCCCAGTTGTGTAAATGTGTGTACATCTAATAGTAATCAAAGTAACATTAATGGAGTGATCGCAACTACATATAGCAATTCGAATTCATCAAAGTTGCATTACAGGCAGTCAAGATTCAAATTCGCTTATATTAGGCCCATCATTTTCTAAGGCACAATCACAGCACCAGTACCTTGATAACATTCTTATAGTTTTAGATTGCAGATAACAAAGCCTGTTTCAACTGTTCTCATGAAATATACATTAAACGTGTAATGCATGGTTTTTAATATACCAGAATAAGAAAACAATTTTCGCGGAAAACATCCCGTGCACTGGTAGTTGCCTTAATCATATAAACGAAATTTCTCAAATAACGGTGTAAGAGCGTTTCTTAACGTTGTTGAGAATGCCACGGTTTATCTGGCTTGACAAAGCCCGGCGGCTTTTTATACACTTAGTCACCAAATGTACCGACTGGTACCGGTTAATCGGACACTTGCAGTTACCTGTTTCAGCAAAACTTTCATTTTGGTCAAGGGTCAGTTGGTGTCTCGGAGAACAATACCTAAGATTATAATAATAATAATCTATTTATTTCGACTCTAAAATCCTTATCCGTTATCTGTAACGAACATATTGTACACGCAAGCTATGTTTGAGTGCCCTCTATGGACAGGGCCGTAGCCTCCGGGGGGGCCGGGGGGGCAGCTGCCCCCCCTGGGATTTAGAATTTTCCACACTGGTAGGGGGACACCCCCTCCCCCCTCAGGGGCTTCGCCCGCTTGTGTCCGCTTACTGCCCCCCCTGGCATTTTGCTCAGGCTACGGCCCTGATGGACCTAATGAGGTCCATGCTCCACACGATGCCTGGTAGAGGTCTAGTACAAGGAACCTATCCGCCTTGGATTTTTATTTGTTAAACCTGATAGAAGGAGTTCGTCATTTATATTTATCGCTGAACTGCTAGGGAGTGAAGGTGTGAGTGCGAAGGAAAAGTGATTTTTATCAAGGGTTGTGGTACTTTAACTATTTTACTGCTTACGGTGATTAAATTATAATTGAGGAAATGCATTTCTACCAATTACAGTTGTGACAAATCGCTATTTAGCGCTAGGCTCTCGTACGCGTCCGTCGACCAACCAACCAGTCCGTAGCTGCCTGTTTATAATTCACGTAAGAAATAAACTGCAGTTTAAGAAGTGGTTGTTGGTTACTTTTTTCACAATCATAATAGTGTGCATCAGTGTGTAAACGCTAACTTCTCTCACATCTTATTTATTTAATGATGCTTCTTTAATTATATATTACACTATTGACGATGCTTAAACAAAGCTCGAAAAGCGGCAATTCTGATATGATACAGATTTACAGTGCCGGTGGTAACTTTAACTTTAAAAACTACATGCGTACTTTCAACATTTTTAGTTTTTCAAGCGTTTTATTTATATGTTACATTTGTAGAACTTAACAAAATTAAAAAGCTCNAACTATCTAATAAAAAGGTTGAAATTTAAAAAAAACATCTTTCGCTACTTACCCAGCAACTGCTACGATACGTGGACAGCTCTCTCCAAGCTTTATCCTGAACTGCCATCTACATCTCAGTACGAGTACGTTTTAATACGGGATCAGTATCGTCAACGTAATTACACACATTATCGGTCATCACTAATTTCCAGCATGTCGGAAATCAGGGCCTGGTCCCACAAAGGAAATTTAGCCCGGAAATTGGTCTAAACTGTTAGAGGCCGTGCAGGATGAGTCAGGTTGGTCTAGCTACTGCGACCTACACGTAACTCCATGGGGAATGCAATCAGATTTACAAACTAACGCACCTCTTCTTGGCGTTGAGAGAAAACAGAGAAGATGGTGATTATCCGAGTACTAGTACGTTGGAAACACACAAGAAGGGGCGTGTATGTCTATTAAAATCTGATAGCAAACAGGCGAAATATGTTTATTCACCTCTTTATACAGACTGATCTTCAGTCAAAGAAGACTGGATTTTGCTATTAAAGTTACGACCAACTTTTGGACTGAACTTCTCCAGTGCGACCCCGGTCGTTATCAGATGATAAGGTAGCCTAGGCATATACTATAATTATCACGGTGGTCTGAGTTGCGATAACCATGTATATGTACCAAGTTAACCATGGGTTTTCTTGTCTACGACCTCTCAATATATGCCCTAACAAATAGCCTGTAGGTATCACTGTCATGAATATGAATACATGAATAGATTAGAAGACAACTTAGGTACACAGCTGTGTTTTATTTTGGATCACATCTTGGTCTTTATTGTATATCTTTTATATAATCCCTTCTGCTTCCACTAAGCTTTTAGAGGTTTGTGCTTAGTTTATTTTCGAATGTCTTATTGAATATTCTCTTTTTTATGTAAATGTTTTAATTTGTAATTTCTATTCTTATCAAGTTTATGTGTAACTTTACCTTTGGTTGCTATGTTTTAATAAAACTTGTATTATTATTTATAGGATTATTATTATTTTTTAACCAATTAGATCTACATCTATATTATATTAGTATCTTAGGACCAAAAAGAGAGTAAGGTCCAAAGATACGTGACCGTTGCCGTTGTGTTTCTCTACGAAAAAGCGATAAAAAAGAATATCGATGGGTATGTAAGGTAGCTCTGTTCGCTTTTAATTGACAAAAAGAAAGATACCACACTAATTATATTATAAGCACCAACTGCTGAAGAACAATCGTGTTTGATACAAGCGTAGTTAACGAAGTTAACGGAATAAAAATGAAATATTATATTGCTTTCTTTGCACACAGCTAATTTCATGAACACATACACGTACTTTCCAACGTTGGTCTTGTGTTCAGTCATGTTTTTTGCTGGTAGGAATAACTTTATATGTAATATTCACTATGAAAAATTATGAACAGCCAAAAGAGAAATATAAAATACGATTGACATTCAAAATTTGCCTCATATTATGGTCATCGTTTGCTACTGTAAGTCCTGTAAGCACGAGTCCCAGTTGTGTAAATGTGTGTACATCTAATAGTAATCAAAGTAATATTAATGGAGTAATCACAACTACATATAGCATCAAAGTTGCATTAAAGGCAGTCAAGATTCAAATTCGCTTATATTAGGCCCATCATTTTCTAAGGCACAATCACAGCACCAGTACCTTGATAACATTCTTATAGTTTTAGATTGCAGATAACAAAGCCTGTTTCAACTGTTCTCATGAAATATACATTAAACGTGTAATGCATGGTTTTTAATATACCAGAATAAGAAAACAATTTTCGCGGAAAACATCCCGTGCACTGGTAGTTGCCTTAATCATATAAACGAAATTTCTCAAATAACGGTGTAAGAGCGTTTCTTAACGTTGTTGAGAATGCCACGGTTTATCTGGCTTGACAAAGCCCGGCGGCTTTTTATACACTTAGTCACCAAATGTACCGACTGGTACCGGTTAATCGGACACTTGCAGTTACCTGTTTCAGCAAAACTTTCATTTTGGTCAAGGGTCCGTTGGTGTCTCGGAGAACAATACCCAAGATAATAATAATAATATATTTATTTCCACTCTAAAATCCTTATCCGTTATCTGTAACGAACATATTGTACACGCAAGCTATGTTTGAGTGCCCTCTATCCTTTGCTCCACACATGGACCTAATGAGGTCCATGCTCCACACGATGCCTGGTAGAGGTCTAGTACAAGGAACCTATCCGCCTTGGATTTTTATTTGTTAAACCTGATAGAAGGAGTTCGTCATCTATATTTATCGTTGAACTGCTAGGGAGTGAAGGCGTGAGTGCGAAGGAAAAGTGATTTTTATCAAGGGTTGTGGTACTTTAACTATTTTACTGCTTAAATTAATTTTACTGATTAAATTATAATTGAGGAAATGCGTTTCTACCAATTACAGTTGTGACAAATCGCTTTTTAGCGCTAAGCTCTCGTACGCGTCCGTCGACCAACCAACCAGTCAGTAGCTGCCTGTTTATAATTCACGTTAGAAATAAACTGCAGTTTAAGAAGTGGTTGTTAGTTACTTTTTCACAATCATAATAGTGTGCATGAGTATGTAAACGCTAACTTCTCTCACATCTTATTTATTTAATGATGATTCTTTAATTATATATTACACTATTGACGATGCTTAAACAAAGCTCGAAAAGCGGCAATTCTGATATGATACAGATTTACAGTGCCGGTGGTAACTTTAACTTTAAAAACTACATGCGTACTTTCAACATTTTTAGTTTTTCAAGCGTTTTATATATGTTACATTTGTAGAACTTTCACAAATTAAAAAACTGTAGGCCCTACTGAAAGGTCCATCGTAGGCATACATAGGCCTCTGTAGGCCTACGTGCGCTGTAGGCCTATTTGCACACTGGGCTAGGCGGACTGCAAGCTCATATTTTTCCTGCATTTAAAGGTACACTCCCATAGATTTCCCCCCCAAAATGGAATTTACCGGGAAAATTAGCAACTTTCTCGTACTCAAAAATCATTTATCATTAAAACATATTTTAAGTTGTTCGTAAGGTTTTATAAGAAACTGTCAACTTCATACCCATGGATAGAACTTTGTCAAGCACAAAGGGCATTCGCGATAGCTCATGCAAAAAAAAAAAAAAAAAAAAAAAAAAAACGCCACGCAAAGGTGCACAACTGTTTTCTTTACAAGCAACACGTGTCTCCAAGGGCGGATTTAGGCCGTCTCCTGGGTCTTCCGGAAGACGGTCAGATTTTCAAGTTTACAATGACGGGTATGTAATTTTTTTCTGTCGGAAGACGGTCAAACTGGAGGATGGAACAGCGATGATAATTTGGAAGACTGTCAAAAAATATCTCTGGATTCGCACCTTTGACTCCACCAAAATGGATTCCTTACATTACACGATTCAAAACTCCCACCAGAGGGACACCACAATGCACTGTCTCACCTCCAACACAATCAAGACAATACCAATTCTATAATTCAGAACATACCTCTAAGGCTTCTCTTATCTTTTCTTACGACATGTGTTGATTCATTGCTGCACTTTTCTCACACAGTGCAGTTTAAGCTCACATTGCAAGTTAAAGACGTGGTGAAATGGCTGGCGAACATGGTAATTGTGGTAAACTGCAGTATTTTTTCTTTAAAAACTATTTTTCATCACATTAAACACCATTGGTTCTTGATGTAAAAGCAGAAAAAAAAAGACGGCATGAGGTAGATAAGAGATGTCATGCGAAGTATGATTTTGTCTAGACAACAACGCCTGTAGTGACTTAAACATGTGTCACAATCTAGAAGGCATAGATTACCCGTGCTAGGTGACTTCAATGACTGTAGAATAGTGTTCAGTCCTTGTCAAATTGCTTCTTTCTAGGATTTTAAAAGATTTACCATTTACGGTGCATTATATGGACTGACTACGAAGGAAAAAAAGTCACATTCAGATTGTCACATCTGCCGCACAGCAACAGCAACAATATACTAAGATTATTAAAGTACCATTATACTTAAAAGCGGAAATGATTGTATACGGATAGCCAACACATTCCAACTGCCACATCTACCGCATTGGAACGGTAGTCATGTACTTTTATTCGCGTCATTTAATGTGTAAATCATATCATTAATCAGCAGGCAAAATGTGATCCAGTAAGTTACTTTTGGTTATATATATATATATATATATATATATATATATATATATATATATATATACTGTTTTTCACCCAGAATAACTCATTAATCAGCCTAGGGCCTAGGGTTTTCTGAGAACTCTTTGAGCACATGGCATGAAATGGCGCATGCGCCTTAAAGTGGGTGTTTTGTCAGAGGCTGTCCCGTGAACATAAGGGAGAATTCCCATTAACCAATCGTACTAGCTGGTTTGGTCTAACTGTGCTGTAGTGGATTCTAGCAAATTGCAATCAGTGTAAGCGGCTTAATTATCCGGCTGCTTGAGGATAATTAGCGATAGCGTAGTTACTCAAGGGGGCATGCCAGACAATAAAGCTGATTACACTGAAAACACTTTTATTAGCGAGAAGCCCATAGAGTTAGATCGATCCAGCTAGAACGATGGGTTTATGGAACTAACGCAGTCTAAGTTGTAACTCTGCTCTTGGTGAAATATCTTGGTGAATATCTGTACAACAGTATTGAGTCTGCAACATTTTCAGAGCTTGATTTGAGCTTGATCTCGTGAAATTTCTCGTTTAATCCATCACAAGAATAAGAAACTTCGAGGCATTTATGGAAGATTGCCTAGTTTTCCCCCGCAGTCACACGTTTGCCATGGTCTTGCTGCACCTGCATTTTTGAAATAAAAAAATTCAATATATGGCTTTATACAGTACTTTATCGAAAACGTACCAGTGTAACAGGAATGGAAGTCCTAGGAATGGAAGGGCTCCCATATGATTAGTACAGTTTAGGGTTAGTTGGAGTAATGGAGTAACTAGCCTGTATGGGACGAATTTCATGTGTACATTTAGTAATGGGAAGAAGACTACATGTACGGTTCCTAGCGGATTTCCATTCCTGTTACACCGGAGAAAAATCCGCATTGACATATGTATGAACAGCAAACCATATCTTAAAGCATTGACAAAATTTCGTTTTAAAAATATG